TAAATGACGTTAATTACTTTTTTTTATATGGATTATTTAATAATTAATATTTCTGTTTCATAAATATAATTATTTCTTAGTAAATTATTTTAAAATATTAAATTAGGATATTTTAAACTTAAGATGCTAGTCTTAAATATTTATTAAGAGAGTATGAAAAACTTTGGACATGAAAAATTATGGGCAGGAAATATTTATTAAAAAGAGATTGAGTCTGGATTTACTCAAACTTGCACCTTGTTGATAAATATTCTAAATTCGCATATTATAAGAATGTGATTTTTGAATATGTAAATAAAAAGAAGAATTGTAGAAAAAATAAAAAATTATCTTAATAATTTCTATAGAAAATAGTGTGCAATTATAGCGGTCTAAAGTGGAAAGATAGTTTGATGCAACCCAAAACAAAAAAGTATGCGTGTATGGTATGATTGAAGTTTGTTGCTTAATGGAAGGTATTTTGTCTTTGGTAATATCATGTGGCTATTAGGATAAGATTAAAGAAATAAAAAGGTAGAGGCGTGTGTCTCATTATGTGGTTGGAACACTCCCACACAAATACGAGTTTGAGTTGTATGTTCATGTGTCTCTCCATAAATAACCACTAATACTTACATCTGTATATTAGCTCCTTAAAATGACCAAGTTATATTATATCTCAATAAGTTATTTAGCAACTTTATTCTATATGTATTTTTTATTATGAAATTCTTATTTCTTTATTTCTTTAAAAATATCGTTGATTATTAATTAAAAACAACATAGAATCATTTAAACATTTTATCAATTGTACTCAATGTTTAAGTTTCTTATTTTATATTATATAAAATTTTATAAATAAAAAATATTTTTAGGTAATTATAGTTTATGTTAGTTAATTTTAAATTTATTATTTTTAAAGATAAAATATTTTTGAAATTAATTAAATGTTAATTACATAGTGTAACAAATAAAATAAATAGTGTGATATCAAAGGAATCAATAAACCAGGTAAAAATAAAAATGAAACATTATGATAAATTCAAATGCTAACACATAAAATAATTTTATAATCTTGTGAGATAATTTTGTATCCAACACCTCTACTTTTGTGAAACAACTTCATAAGTTTATCAAATAAACTATTAAACACACTCCAAATATCATTTTTTATAATATAAGATCATTAAAATTATAACATAAATCCATTTATATGTCTCATTTCATCCAAAAATAAAAATATTTCAAAATAAAATATATTATCCTAATTTTTAAGATGATAAATTGTTTGAAATAAATTAAAATATTAAGTAATAACTAATTATTTTTTCAACTAATTAATTTATCAACTTTCAAGTAAATTATCCCTATTAAGTGTTAATAGTATCAAATACACTTCTTTTCCAGACATACAATTTATCTCTTTCAACAAAATCTTCACTATATATACAGTTTAAATAATATAAAAGAATCTTGTTAATTATCTCCCAATTACATATGTTCCACTTTGTTGATCAATGTTAATGGTTTATACTAATGCAAATTGAAGGGATATTCCGTAGATAACTAAAAATTATCTACGAAAAAATTCCGTAGATAATATTTCGTAGATAACTAAACATTATCTACGGAAAAAATTCCGTAGATAATACTCCGTAGATAATAATAATTTTTCTTGTAGTGACGGCCCATTCTGGAACTCATCCAGAACGGCCCGTTCTCCATCCAGAACGGCCTGTACTCCAACCAGAACGACCCGTTCTAAGGTTTGGAACGCCCCGTTCTCAACCATATTTTATAGGTCAATTCAATAGTTTGGAAGAGCCCGTTCCAGTTTGGGAACGACCCTTTCTGGGCTACTGAATCACCCATACTGGGCTTTTGGACCTTCTGAAATAACTTACTACGTTACAATACTCCCCAACAAACAAGAATTTTCGTCCCTGAAAATAGGCTTACTTGAAAAGAGGAACGAATACTGTTTCTTGAACTGACTCTCTACTTCCCAGGTTGCCTCACCAGTAGCTACATCCCAAAGAATCTTCACCAAGCTAATGGACTTGCCACGAAGCTCCTTCAACTTGTGATCAACCACAGCTACCGGTTTCTTCTCATAGGTCAAGTTCTCTTTATCTTGCACCTTATCCATCTCTACCACGTGACTCGGGTCTATGATGTACTTCCTCAACTGTGAAACGTGAAACACATCATGCAGGTTGGATAGAACCGAAGGTAACGCCAACTGATAAGCCACCGGACCTACACAATGAAGGATCTGGTAAGGACCAATGAATCTCGGTGTGAGTTTCTTGGCCCTTACAACCCTTCCCACTCCAGTAGTGGGTGTTAGCCTGAGAAACACGTGCTCTCCCTCCTCAAACTCTAGAGGTCTCCTCCTCCTATTAGCATAAGACTTTTGTTGACTCTAGGTAGCCCTCAACCTCTCTTGAATCTGTTTCACCATCTCAGTAGTCTGAAGAACTAACTCTGGACCAACCACTACTGACTCACCCTCTTGATACCAACATAATGGAGTCTTACACCTCCTGCCATAAAAGCCTCAAAAGGCGTCATGCCAATACTCGCATGATAACTATTGTTCTAAGTAAACTCCACTAATGGTAACACCTCCTCCCAGCTGCCCAGATGATCCAATACACAAGCTCTCAAGAGATCCTCTAGTGACTGAACCGTTCTCTCTGACTCACCATCTGTCTATGGATGATAAGCGGAGCTCAACGTCAACCTCGTCCCCAAAGCCTGATGCAGAGTCTGCCAAAACATGGAAGTAAACCTTAGATCTTTATCAAAGATAATACTAGAAGGCACTCCATGCAATCGTACTATCTCTTTGATATACAACTGTGCAAGCCTCTCCAAGGACCACCTCTTGTTGATAGGAAGAAAGTGCACACACTTGGTCAACCTATCAACAATCACCCAAATAGTGTCACTGTTCCTAGCTGTCCTAGGCAACCCCACTACAAAGTCCATAATGACACTATCCCACTTCCACTCAGGAATCTCCATCAACTGCATAACCCCTCCAGGTCTTTGATGCTCAATCTTCGCTTTCTGACAAGTCAAACAAGCGGCCACAAACTCTTCTATCTCCTTCTTCATACTAGGCCACCAAAAGCTTTTCTTGATGTCCTGATACATCTTAGTCATACCAGGATGTATGCTAAGATGACTCATGTGTCCCTCCTCTAGAACAGCTCTCCTCAACTCTGAATCACAAGGTAAACAAATCTGACCTCTGAATCTCAGAATTCCATTTGTACCAAGCTAAAAACCAGTTGCCCTTTCAGTACCAAGTAATCCCAAAATCCTCAACAACTCTGCGTCCTGTAACTGTTTAGTTCCCACCTGCTTCAGGAACTCATTAGTTATGGTGATCATACCACAACTAATGTGATTCTGAACAACCTCCACCTCTAGTCTCAAATCTCTGAACTGCTCAATCAACTCCAACTCCCTGATCATCATAGCTGACATGTGAATGTATTTCCTACTCAATGCATCTGTTACCATATTCGCCTTCCCAGGATGATACATCAACTGGAAATCGAAGTCCTTTAGAAATTCCATCCACCTCCTCTGCCTCATATTCAAATCCTTCTGATCAAACAGGTATTTCAAACTCTTGTGATCACTAAATACACTGAATTTTGCACCATACAGTTAGTGCCTCCACGACTTCAAGGCAAACACCATAGCTGCAAGCTCCAAATCATGAGCAGGATAATTTCTCTCATGGGTCTTAAGTTGCCTCAAAGCATATGCCACTACTCTCCCTCCTTGCATCAACACACAACCCAACCCCTGGTGAGAAGCATCACAAAACACATCAAAATGCTCACCAATGTCAGGTAATACCAAAACTGGAGAAGTAGTCAACCGCCTCTTCAACTCTTGAAAACTCTGCTCACAAGCATCCATCCACACAAAAGGCTGATTCTTCCGAGTTAGTTGAGTCAAAGACATTACTATTCGAGAGAAACTCTCTATGAATCTTCGATAGTAACCTGCTAACCCAATAAAACTCCTAATCTCTATAGCAGTCCTCGGACGCTCCCACTGAATCACAACCTCCACCTTGGCTGGATCTACTACAATCCCCTCTGCTGATATCACATGCCCCAAAAATCTCACCTCAGACAACCAAAACTCATCCTTGGACAGTTTAGCATACAACTGTCTCTCCCTCAACACCTCCAAATCTGACCTCAAATGCTCACGCTCATCCTCCAGTGATCTAGAATACACCAAAATATCATCAATGAAGACCACCACAAATCTTTCCAAGAACGGTTTAAAAATCATGTTCATGTAATCCATGAAAACTGCCGGAGCATTAGTGACACCAAAAGGCATCACCACAAAATCATAGTGACCATACCTAGTCTTGAAAGCAGTCTTCGGTATGTCACTTTCCTTTACCCTGATCTGATGATATCCGGATCTCGAATCAATCTTCAAAAATATAAAAGCTCCCCTCAGCTGATCCATCAAATCATCAATCCTCGGAAGTGGATACTTATTCTTTATCGTTAACTTATTTAGTTGCCGATAATCAACAAACAAACGGGCCCCACCATCCTTCTTCTTTACTAATAGTACCGGGCACCCCAAGGAGAAACACTAGGCCTCACCATCTATTTCTCCAACAAATCCTCAATCTGTCTCTTCAGCTCTACCAACTCAATTGGAGCCATCCTATAAGGAGCCACTAATATCGGTCTTGCACCTGGTACCAGATCAATGCTAAACTCAACATCACGCATAGGTGGCAATCCTGACACATCATCTGGAAACACCTCAGGAAACTCACTGACAATCTCAATCCTAGTGATGACCCTCTCTATCTCAATACTTAAAGCTGCAAACAACATGAAGCACTCAACTCCATCCCTCATCAACTGCTCAGCCTAACCCACTGATACCAACACCTCATCCTCCAACTGAGGAAATACCAACTCTCTCCGAGCATAATCTATAAGGATGTGATGGGCAGATAATCAATCCATCCTTAAGATTATGTCGATATCCACCATAGGCAATACAATCAGGTTCACTTCGAACCTCCTACCAAACACCTCTATCGGGCATCTCACACACATCTCCGACATCACTACAGAAACTGAAGCCGGAGTAGACACAGACAAATCAACATGCAATGCAGATACCGACAAACCCAATCTCCTCACACAATCTACATATATAAAAGAATGTGTAGCACCAGAATCAAACAGGATAGAAACCTCTGTACCTGCAGCTTTGCCCTTCCCTTTCACCAAGTCTGGTGAAGTGGAAGCATCCGCTCCTGTCAAAGCAAAAACTCGCCCTGCTACTCTAGGTCGCTCCACCCTCTGAGCACCTCTAGACTGACTTGCCCCAACTGGGAAATCCTTGTCCAGATGGCCAAACTTGCTGCACCTAAAACCCTTAGGCTGTGCAGAAGTGTAGTCTCTGACAATATGTGGCCCACCACACCGATAACATCTAACAGCCTGAGCTCCACTCCTAGCTCTCTCAGTATACTTCCTTGTGGCAGAACCCCCTTGTTGTTGGGGCCTGTCATAAGACTTCCTCTGAGAACCACCACTACTCTTGGACCCAGTTGGCCCACCAACAGTCTTCGTCGGCTTGCCGACGCTCTCTAGCCGCTCTACAACGTTCGCCTTCTCTACCAAGGCCGGAAACTCCGTGATGGACATAGGCATTACCACTTTCCTCAAATCATACTTCAAGCCTTGAGCAAACTTCCTACACTTCCAAGCCTCAGAGATGGCTTGGTGTAGAAGCGTGCCAAATGCTCGAATCTCATGGTGTACTCAGTCACTGACATCTCACCCTGCTACAATTTCATAAACTCTGCCTCCCGAGCATGCCTAACACTTTTTGGGAAGTACTTCTTGAGGAAATCCCTCATGAAGCACACCCAGTCCACAATCACTCCACGGTCAATCAACATCTGACTAGTACCCCTCCACCAATGCTCTACCTCCCCTGTCAACATATACACTGCATACGCGAGCTTTTTCTCCTTTGAACAACCCAAAACTGAGAATATCTTCTCCACCTCGCAAATCTAGTGGTCAGCCACCTCCAGATCTGCATCACACCTGAATTGAGGAAGACTACACTTCCTGAACTCAGCCAGATCCCTGCTCACATGAGACCCAGTAGGTCCTGCTACAGCTCTCTCCGCATCTGCCCTAGCAAAATGTGTAGTCTGCTGCTGCATCGCCATGGCTATCATCTCCATGGCCCTAGCTATCTGATCATACTGGGGTCTCACCGTACTACAAGAATTCAAACATCCTTTTAGTAACATAATACCTCCACAAATCACCAAAGACTAGCACATATCAGAGATATGACACAACAGAAACCTAGAAGGATCACTCCCCACAGAGTATCCAAAGGACTCGACTGGCTCTGATATCATAAAAGTGTAACGACCCGCCGTGGTCCCTACGCTTAGTAGAATCACACTAAAAATTTGTAAACTAAGATAAATAATAAAATTGGATAACTCATAAATACAAAAACATGAAAATATATAAGAATAATTAAGGTTTTAAGTATTAGGTATTTATACAGTTATCTAAAACTACTATCTCCTAGTGCCAGTCAAGCACAAAACCGTTACCTAAGGTGGTAACTCTGACACTAGGAACCAAAAATTCCACTTCTAGTAGCAAACTTAGCCAACAGCTCCAACCTAGCCCTGATCTGCTCCCATACACCGTATGATCATAGCAGTCCATCCACATGGAAACAGAAGGGTAAGCTAGAGTTCAATAAACAAACCATACAAGTATAGGAAAAACACTATACTACTCATTCATTCAATCATCATCACAAACGTCCATACAGTTCAACATAAAAGCACAACTCATTCATACAACTTAGAAGCAACTTTAATATAACAACAACAATATACAACTTAATATTTAATGCGTTATCACGCATATACAACTGGGAGATCTCCAACAACTAAGGTTGAGCAGTCTAGGTGGCATAAACCCTACCGAATCCAGCGTTTGACCTATCTCAAATAGGTTAGGTATAGAACAACGTTAAGCACTTCGAAGAGAACCAGGTATAGACAATAATAGGTGATTGCTCAAGTGTGCCACTTAGACTCGGAGGTCCAGTACTACTGTCAGGATAGAAGGGTTTGGGTATGAGCCTACCACGGCCTTGGCTAGCATCACCAATCCACATATGGAGTTAGCCCAACCACTGTCCTCCAAGTACCATGCACCCTCCAGTACCTAGTCAAAGACTACATCTCTAACTAGATACCTTACTCAAATTGGTCATTCAACCATGACATGGATAGACTATTTCCATGTCGCCCACACAGTACTAAGGGATTCGACTTTAAAACAACTTTCAACTTATCACCTTGGTACTATGTATCTCAACATAGGACATATATCTTCACCATATGTCCCCAACTTTCTAACTTTACAACAATGGGCAGCTTTACAACTTTACGACAATAGCATCTTATCAACTTTACAGCAATAGACATCTTAACAACTATAAACAACTTACAACAATACAACTATAGACATCTTACAACAATAGGAAACTTACAACAATACAACAATAGGCATGTTACAATAATAGGCACCTTACAGCAATACAACAATAAGCATCTTACAACAATAGGCAACTTACAACAATACAACAATAGGCATCTTACAATAATAGGCACCTTATAACAATACAACAATAAGCATCTTACAACAATAAGCAACTTATACAACTTTAAACAACTTTTACATCAATAATTACTTCAACTTATACATCTCAACTTATTAATAATTCAATAATAAACAACATAAAAACAACTTAGTTTCACAACGTATAACAACTTTATCAACATATCACATATTATCAACACACAACATATGAACAACTTAAGCCAATAACTACTCAATCCAAACCCAACAACTTAACCATTTTCAAAGAAAACAATGCATGAAGCTTCCCTAACTCTCCTAAAATTAAACAATCTACATTCTAGCTTCCCTCACCTGAAGATTGGCTCTAAAAAGCCAAGAATCTGAGAAGAAGAAAAAGAAGAAGAAATATCCTCCAAGCTTGACTCTTGAACTTCAATCCTACAAAAACAAGCTTTCTAGTATGAAATTCAAGAGAAGACAGAAGACATTAGTGGTCTAGAGGAGAAGAAGAATCATACAGAGAAATTAGAGAGAGAAAGGAGCCCACAAACCCAGAGTCCTTCTCTCTAGAACTTCTCTCTAAAACCTCTTATTCTCCTCACTGCCCACAACCCTTATTTATAGAAGTTTCGGAGTGGCCAGAACGGTCTGTTCCAAAACCGGAACGGCCCGTTCTGCACCCCTTCATCATGTGCAAAAATCACATGCAGAACAGCCCATTCTGAAATCAGAACGGCCCGTTCTAGAACTCATCCAGAACGACCCGTTCTCCATCCAGAAAGGCTCGTACTCCAACCAGAACGGCCCATTCTAAGGTTTGGAACGCCCCGTTCTCAACCACATTTTATAGGTCAATTCAGTAGTTTGGAACGACCCGTTCCAGTTTGGGAACGGTCCGTTCTAGGCTACTAAATCACTCATACTGGCTTTTGGGCCTTCTGAAACAACTTACTACGTTACAATATATAATTTTTAATATTTATTTAGACTTAGTGATGTGACATTTAGAATTATGTTATTTGGAGATAAAAAAGAACTAAAAAAATGTAAATAAGATTATTAATAAAATAACTACCAATCACTCATTGAAATATATACAAAATTTTTTTGTATGTTATTTTTTAATTTTATCTCTATATATCACGTTACTAAAATATCATGTCACTTAAGTGGAGAAAGGTCATTAAACAATGTCAAAATTTAACGATCAACAAATATCAAATTGACAATGTGATCAAAATTTCGTAGTATGTCTGTATTTTAAAAATAAGAAACTAAAATAGTAAATTATTAAAAATAAAGAAACCAAAAAATATAATTTTACACATAGAGTCTATTTAAATACAAATTATAAATATTTTTAAGAGTTTCTCTAATAAAAATTAAGAGTTTTTTTTTCTAATAACTAGCAAAAACTCTCGAAAAGACTTTTAAGTTGACTTCCAAACAAATTTATGCTCATTTTGTATCAACTCTTCATCCTTTTCATTTTTCTTATATTTAACAAGAGTGTCTCTTGGAATTTTTTTTTTTTTGGTAGAAAAAGTGTCTCTTGGAGTTTAATATAATGTATTAAACAAAATTACATTTTAAATAAATATAAATATGCAATAAAATAAATTAATATACTAAATAACATATACAAATATTATATTATTTATTTTAGATTATATGTTTATATTTATTTTATAAAGATATATTAAATAAAAAATTACAATCAATTTACTTAAAAAATTATTATTTTATTAAACAAAGTTTTTCTTTATTAATTTTAAAATAGATTAAAATTAGATAAGAAATTTCTAAAAATTAATTAACTCAATCAATAATGTTATATATAATATAGTGTTCAAGTTATAGGAAAAAATATTAAGTGGGTTAGTGGTATAAATAGTTATAGTTGTAATGAAAGTTAGAGGTTCTAGAACTCATTAGATCACTTTTTTTTTATCATTTTTAAAATAAATCTTATATTTATTTATTGCCACATCAACTCTACGTCACTTATTCATGTCATCACTAGAGTGTCACTTTGTTAGAAATGTCATGTAACACATCATTGTTAATCAAACTCAAGATGAAGACATAGAATATTTAGTTTTGATGATTACAAATATAAGCCTCTTGAGAGATAAAAGTGTCTTGTTATGTGTTTATGTTTTATTGCATGTGTGTTTTGTGCTTTGTAGATAGCTTAGCTTTAAATCTCTATCTAAATGATGTTTGATGATGAAAATAAGTTTTAAAAATGATTTGAAAAGAGGGTTGGTATGAAAAATCAAGGTATTAAGTTTTCACTTAAAATAATCAATTATCTAAGTAATAATTGATTATTCGTTCTGTTTTTCAATAACTTGAGAAACTTTGTTGTAATAATTAATTATTTAGGAAAATAATTGATTCTTCAGCAAAATAAACGATTATTTTAGAAATAACTTTATGGAATAATCGATTATCACTCAAAATAATCAATTAAGTTGTTTTTAGTTGATTTCTAAATATGTGAAGAACAAAATAATCGATTATTCATATGAATAATTGATTATTTCTATTAGAAAACTCTGTATAACATTTTTTATGCTTAAAACATAGAGAACTTGAATCTTTGTGATATTACTTTTAAAAATACTTTCTGAAAAAAAAATATTTTCAAGAAGGTGTTTGATATCCTTTGTGGGAACCTCAAGAAATGATTCAAGAATTGAATTGATCATTGTCAGCATTTTCATTGGAGATATAAGCTAAGCTACATTGGTTTGATTCATTTACTTTAAAATGTTATGTACATTAGGTGAATTCATTCTTTAATCTTTGTAACTAGTGTTTTTGGTAAAAGAAAATCTTGTAGTGGGGTGCAATTAGTGCTTCTTAGACTATAAGAAGTGGTTTCTTTTAATTGTGTAGAAGTGTATTGTATGTGGTATTGTGATTGTAAAACTTTTGACATTAAAAATTATTGGAAAATCTTAATTAGGTTGATTGAGGACTAGATGTAAGTTACAATTAGATGTGACTAAACC